AATATAAGGATGAAGCATGGTAATTGTTGGGCACATTAACTAATCCTTCAAATATGCCATTTCAAAATAAATGCATTAGATAAAATTTATTTTTCTATGAGTAGGTAATATTGTGGTAATTATTCTGCTCATTAACATAATCTTTCAAATATGTATTTCTAAATAATACTGTGTTATGATCATCATAAATAAATTATCGGCACTCGATTGTAAAATCGGTGAATTTTCCGTTCGAAGAATTGCTGGCTGGTCGGTGAATTTTCCAGTCGGTGAACTGTTGTCAGTGAACTTTACGGATACCCCGGGTTACGATCATTCGACTTACGATTTTTCGACCTTACGATACAACAAAATTCGAAAAATATTTCCGATTTCACAAGAAAAAGAGCAGCTGAGCTTAAGCGTAAGCCATACGATAGCCTTGGCATGCTTTGGAAGCTGCTGCTGCCTGTATCGCATTACATAACGTGTGGTCTTCCTCAGTCTGCAGCGCTCTAACCTTTAGTGAGAAGCGATTCAAGAAATATTTTCTCTTTGTGTTATTTTGTGCTTTTTTCTATAACAATTGCCCTCAAACGTGCCAATGTTTTTCCTGTTGGTAGTAGGAAGAAGAAAAGGAAAGTTATTCCCTTGGAAGATAAATTGAAGATTATAAACCAGCGGGAAGGAGAGAAACCAGTCATGGCCATAGCACGTGATTTTCAGTTATCCCAGTCAACGGTATCAACGATTCTTAAAAATAAAAAGCGGGTCATGGAAACTATCGAAGGTGTTGCATCTGTGCATTCCGCCATAATATCAAAGAAAAGATCTACCATTTACAATATTGTTGATTTACAGCGTATTAAATTATACTATAATTTATTGCTGGACAGCACATTGCAAATGTATGTACTATACTGTAATACAACTTCAAAGGATTATCAATTACCTCTAGAGTACACGTGCTCTACAATATGTACTGTACTACAAATTACAGGGTATGGGGTTTGCTAAATATAACACAAAACTATACAGTAAATTATGTCACAACGCCATGCATTACAATATAACTATTTAATACATTACATTGCCTTCGTCTATACCTTATATAAACGAACCTATAAACGCACACCTCTATACCCTACTTCATTTTGATCGTTCGGATCAGCCAGAATCCAGCCAGCCTTAATTCGCCCTCCATTCCTTGAGGCTCAGAGCACTCTGTTTCACAGTACGACCTTCTCGGTTTTTAATACAACCTTCCCACTATTACGGTAGGTGAACACACGTTGGTATACATCGCTGACCTTCTTCCATAGGTGAGCCGAGTTACGTACTCGGTCCAACGCAGCTTCTGTTTCTTGTTTTCAAAGACGACATTCCAGTCCATGGTACGGTCACCGTGCTGGCTATGTGGTCGCGACACAACATGCCCAAAATTATTCTTTCCGTTACTTCTTCTTCTGTCGTATGGCTGGAGGAAATAACTAGCAACTTCATAGGTCAATGTCAAGATTTCTAAGCCGATGAATGAAGCACTTTGGACTTCAGTTATGCTGCCAAACAACTTTCGAAGCGGACTCTCCGTCACTCACAGCGGGCGATCTTTCACTTCGTGAGTGAGTAATATCGTCTCATAGTCATGCTATGTCGCTGGTCAGGAGGTAGAACTGAAAGAATTCGTGAATTTACCTTATTTTATGCTTCCTAAAAGGGTGTCGTCCATGTAATAGATTACACGCCATGCCAACGCGACGAATAATGTCCCCTCATATTCATGTGGCATGTGACTTCTTAGTTCAGGTAAATGTGCTTATTAACTGATCGAATTGTTAGTGGTTATAAAAGTGGCAATGGAGCAACCATGTTTGCCTAAGAATCAGCCCGACAAAGATTAAGCAGTCAGAAATCATATCCCAACCAGAATTACCATGAATGGTGTTAAGCTCTAGCAAGTTCAACTTTCTACATATCTTAATTCCATCCTGAGCTGTATTAAAAACTGTTCAAAACTCTGTTGAATCGCAGCTTCAGGGACTCCTCAAGCTGAGAAATAAAAAATCCCTAATTTGGTCGGTTGTAAGCTGTGAAAACGACGATTTCACCATAGAGAAAAGTGAACGCGAGTTCGTCCAACACCTGAATATGTGGCATTAAAAACGAGTGTTATTAATCTCTTGAACTGATGTGAAGGTCAATGACTGGATCTTGAACCAACGTGACGCTCAGGGCTCGCGTCTAATAAAGAGTAAGGAACGAAAGTAACGTCCGTTTGATCAGTTCATGATAAAAAATGGTAGGAAAGGGCTCAAATCCTGGAATGGAAACGGAAAGGAAAACCAAAAGGAAGTTGGATGAATTGCCTCATACAATGACACAACTTAACATACTCAACGCCACAAGAATCACGTAAGACCAACGACAACGACCAAAAAATTGCACCATGTTGTCTATGCTCTGAAGAGAGGAAGCAAAGTGATAGAGATATAATAGGAAGGCCTCTGTACAAGCATTAATGGCTGGTGCTGTATTTTTTATCATATGTGGTCTGTATCAGTGATCCCCCCTTCTTTGCATCTACCAACAAAGTAGATTCAAGCATTCACCGTGAAGGCCTGTTTGGAGGTGCTATGCTCTTACTAACAATACATGTAATGAATTTAGACAATGATACAAATTCAACACAAAACATATTAATATTAGGCTGCCCGCTAAAGGGATGAGAGCATATTAATTTCGTGACTACGATATAACAAAGAATCACACACTTACACTTTGGAAGATCGCTGAAGCTTCTCTATCCATGCATTCTGCAAACCTTCATTAGACGTGGCAAGGAATACTGGGCGCTGAAATGCAAAATTTGACTTTTTAGTAGTCTAGGCATTGTAGAAACTACACTGCTTCCCTGCCATTCGTGTATGCGTGAGAAACGGTTACAGAAAACATGCAATGGGAAATACAGTAGAATACTCGAGTGAAGTAGTGGTTCCTGAATTAAGTTTCCGTTTACATCAGATTGATTTTTCGTTGCATGCGACAACAGACTAAGGAATATACCAGATGCTGCAGATCTGGAGTTAAATGCTCAGATTACTAATAATCTAGATATCACAGCGTTCTGACAATAGTTTTCATGAAAACCTTACCTGTTAGCTGCAGAATGTAAATTCAGAAGGAGCACATAGTAGATTAACAGCCCGGAGCCTAAGGTGCTACCATTAATGCCTCCCCGTTGGCAGTAGTTCATTCGTGTGTCGATTGTCATGGCATTAAAACAAGCTGAAACAATGGATATCGTCGATAGCGGCAAAACTTCTATCATTTGCACTTAATATCACTAATGAACTCATTGAAGGTTTTTCCTCCTCCCCATAATTGTTGGTATAATGATATGACGATTTCGCAGAGATGCCAAGGGGTCGGAGTTCTTCAGGCACTTGTTGTTCAGACCAATGTTGGGGAGGTGAATCTTTAACTATGATTGATGCTTTTGTTTTCTAGAATTCATCAAGCGTTGCCAAGCTGAAGTCGACAAAATTTTTCATTAACTGAACTAACTGTTGAACCTGCAGATCTACGACAGCTGCAATCTGTTTCATATATCTGACCTTGGAATCTTTGGCTGTAAACTAACGATCTTTTAATGGAAATTTAAGCTTAACAGTTGATATTCGTAGACTACGACAAGACATTTGACTGGTTGAAGTAAGGAGTTGAAGAATTATGCATTTTAATTCTATAAGGAGCATATAGAGCTGCTTGAATATCCGGTTGTAATCAAGATTTCTATTTGCGTTCGTCAACGGGACAGCATATCGTCCAAGCTGCATAGAGCATGCTTCGAGTCAGTATTTCACAAAATGAAATGTAATGGAAGATTTTCAATTAATGGTAGACGGATCACGCATCTTTGATTTGCTGACGACATTGTGCTACACAACCCCCTGAAGGAAGCTTTCCTACGCCGTTCTATCCATTCCTCTACCTCTGAACAGTACTGAACAGATGAAAATCTGCGTGACGTTGCATTGACATCAACAAAATACGGTAAAAAAATCATCATCCACCGTACGTAAGAGGTTAAAAGAGGGAAATAAGGCTAACGAAGGATACGAGTTCCGTGCTGATTAGACAAGCATCATCAAGTCTATGATCCAAAAATTTCTTAACAAGCAGCATGGGCCAAACGCACACCTATGATTGAAAACGCCACAACAGCTGCAGATCACGCGACTAATTGTAGAAACCATCCCAAACTACCGCAAGAAAGGCTCGTGAGATACAAGCCAAAACATATGTACTTATTAATCACCCGATTGACTAACTTATTCGTTTGCGTTGTGTACAAATAAACCGTTTTAATCTATTTTTCAGATATCTTTAAGTGTTTGATTTTATTGTTACCGATCCAGCAAGGATTAAAAACGTACTTCTCACAGGAACTGGTATGCTTTAATAAGCGTTAAACTTTGGAGCGATGCGCCCATGAGCTTATGCCCTCTCCCGATCAGTTTATTGTTTAATCATTGGAAGAGTTTTATACGTAGGGCGTTCTCTGTACTTTGAGGTACTTAAGCAGATACACCTCATCTTGAAATATTGCTTCAGCGATCTTAAGCTCAGCAAAGAAGCGGTCACCAATTCAATTAGAATTGGAGAATTCACAGTTGCCAATGGCAATGTCAGGACGAAGCGTACCCCAGCTAAATACACATATTCGCTGACTAACTCTGCTTCATGAAATGTGTGTTGAATTCCGATACAGGATGCATCAGAACGCAAAAGACTGCATAGAATCAAAACAAGCGCATAGTGGACGATATATTGACCCCGTATCTTGTTTGAAAAAACTATTACGACTAGATTTATTTGTATTAACATAATTGTATGTGGATTATTTTCAGCGATCTATGTTATGAAACCTCAATTTGCTACTATCTCATGTACACAACAACAATTACCTGAAATAAATCACTAAATTTCTGCGAGTTAGACCATGATGGAGAAAGTTGCTGTCAGAAATTCGTTTCTAAAATGTTTTCATACTGAACTCGTTCTGAACCCATGATAATCAATACCTATGTTTACACCTACCTGATTATTCCTTAAGCCTCTTAGCGAAGCCAAGTTTAATTTACAGTATATCTGCTTAACGTTTCAGTGTCGTGATTACACTTACTTGGAAATCTTCATGAGAAATGGCGATACAAAATTCGAAGTCACATTGGCGACATGCCGTGACGTAGCAGCCGGAAATAGGAATAACCCCCTGAAAGCTTGACCTTAGATGTTAGAACAAGATGAATTCGTTCATCATACACATACCTTTGGATGACTGCTGATCTGATGACTGCGTTCGAAAAGTTTCTTCTCAGATACTGCGTAGTAGAGCAGAAAGCTGTCCTTCAAAACGAAAAATCTATAACAGGATAAGGAAATTATTGCATGTCTTTTTGTGATGTGTCCTTGATGATGGCTTCTGTGCCGGAAGCTGACGAGTCAGACTATAAAAGAATTTGGTGACACGTCTAATGCAATTGTTTTGCAAAAGGTACGGAGTCGAGGGTAAGGAAGTATGCAAATGTTGAATACCGCAAAGAAAGTGAGGTGCACAAAAATATTGATCATAAGAATTACTTCATGGCCAAGTGAACATAATTAACAGACAGATCTGCTGATAAAGAAGACATCTTCTCCATTCAATTTCGTTCAGATTTACATCAGTCTCAGGTTGCCCAGCGAGAGCCAGCTAAGTCTCTGGACCTTAATCAGAGCGCTAGTCCAATGCAAGGCCTCAAAGCATCGGATGACAACGACTAATGATATGCAGATGCACTACGTACCGTTTATCCCAACTGGGCTGATTTCTCCATCGATATATTTTGATCACCAAAATGCCGTAGCCTTGCACATTTGTGATGTTTTCTAAACTGGCCGACTTGCAAAGATTTGCCGAAATTTCATTCGCTACATTTCCGGATACGGTAGCGAATCTGTGCTCTGCGTTGAGTTTCACGAAGAGGGTTCCGAACAGCTTCGAGAAGGTTTTACTCGACAAGGACGAATGTTTGGGCAACGTTGCTCCTCGCTGCTGACCATCTTTGCCCAACGTCATGACAGTTTGCCCTGTGCAGCACAGTGGTTGACGTCACCCATGTTAGGATCACTATACTTGATGTCATGTCCTTGTCGTTGGTCTGAAGCGTCACCTGCTTTCATGACATTTGCGACTGACCGCTGCAGAGCGTGGTCGCCGGTGCATCAGCAGCAGGTCAGCATCACCATACGAGTTCATCGCACTGCTCGTTGACCACTGGCCTAATGTAGGCGAAATGACCGTGTTGACTGAGCAATCTAGCGCTCTCCGGCATGAAGGTGAATTTCGTGAAGGTAAACGTCGTCGCGCGACTGATCATCAGTTTCCTCCAGCATCCTCAGCGGTTCGGTTCACGATTAAGTCATCGCCAATGAAAATGCTACCAGACGAAAAACAGCGACATCGAAAACTTGCATTTTTGTTTGACGATTACACTGGGCGCTACCGTAGGCATCCATTAAATCGGGGCACTGCTTTCTTTACAGTATGATTTGCAGTTACATTGAACACATGCGTAACATTCTCAGATGTAGGTGCCTAACGAGGGATTGAAAAATGTTAGTTGTTCAGTGCTGTGACTTTCGCTTTTAACGCAGTCCTTTGGTATAGATTCGCATGCCTTAGACGGAACGGTTGGATTCCAACTTTGAGTCCCATCAAAGGCATTGCTATCGAAACCTATTGGACGTAATTTGCACTTTTTGCTCCCTTCAACGGAATCATTATGAAAGTTCTCATTACACTCAGCAGCCCCCCGAGCGCACTGGCCTTAGGCGGGCACAACATGCTCTCAATATGCACAGCAGAACTACTGTGTCAAGTGTCATTTCCGTGACACAATGGTTATGTTTGGATAAACTTAGCATAACCGGTACCTCAAATTTTTGGTCTTCATTTTCACTGCGAAGCTTTAACCAAAATGGGTCAGATTTGTTTCCTTGATCCGTTTTTACTGTGGCGTTAAGATCATCAGTGATAAACTTGAGATGGCTCTTTCCATGTTCATTCACTTTTATTTCTTAGTGAAAATCTTTAATCTCTTCATCACAATGACTTGGGTTGGTGCATAAACATGGATCACTTGAAGTTATTATTTCTTCGAAACTCGTAGACCCAGTTTTGCACAATTTTCTGAGGTGCTGTACATTTTAACTATACTTTTCTTTAATCTTCTGTGCTTCATGAACCCTAACCTTTGTGTAGTTTCATTTTCCGATCATCCGCGAAACAGGAGATGTCCATTTTCAATCTCAAACAAACCCCACCTCCTTTCTTCTAATGCCTTTGAGTCCTGCAGTGTTCCACCTGATTTCTGTAAGTTCACTATTCAGCTCTAGAAACTTTACTTCATCTAGAAATGATCCGCCGTTGTAGGTTGCCAGCGTTAGTACAATGTGGTAGCTTCAGTCTGTTATCCAGGTATTCAGACATCCTGTATCTTCATGTTTGTCCAGTTTCTGCCTTAGTCTGCTGTAATCCAGCCTCTGGGAAATAAACGCGGTGGCTTTAGTTACGATATCATCTGGGAGTACGTAGTCATAGCATAATGCACTGACCAGGCAGCTTGATTGGTGATTCTTTGCTCACAGGCATCCGTAATCATTGCCGCCTGGTTTCCAGGCAGTTCATTTTCGTTGCAGTTGAGTCGATGGCAGTATCGCTTTTAAACGAAACTGAATAGGCGAACTTTTGGCAGTGAAAGATTCGACTTTAAGCGGTATGCCCGTGACGCCCCAATGTCCTGAATGTTAGAAGAGTAGAAGATGAGGATATTTTTCAGTTCGGAAGGATCAAACAGCAGACAACTTCGCGCACACTCTTAACATTCTAAGATTTCCAAACCAGTGCAGGCTTTCCAACTTCATCCATCATATGACTTTTCTCCTTCATGGGAGCTTATAAACGTTAAGTCGTCGCTCTAACAATCTAGTTTCTTCTCGGATGTTTTCATAGTAAGTAGTTGTTCAGCAGTTCACTCTTGTTTGTCATCCATTTTGTGAACCAATTTATCCTGATCATCATCCAGCCCAACGGATTCAGAGAAGTGGAGCACCTTGTGAGGCTCCGGTTTTTACAGGAACAGCCTCATATGCCACTGACTGACTGACCGACTGACCGACTGATATCATGTGATTTCTCTCAGCAGGTGACTAGTTATAAAAGATTTTCGTAGTTTGATGGAGAGCGTCATTTTTCTGTAGCTCTGTAGTTCTAATGTTTCCCTCTGCATTAGCAGACTGGCAATGAACATAATAGAAATAATCGAATACATGCAAACCAGTAAATTGTATTTCCTACTACTAGTGGGTTGGAGAAGAACGGCGTCTAGAATACAAACATATCCACACGTAAGAATCTGCTAACGCTGAGCTAGTAAACCCTATGGTTAAGTGATAAACGTGAAATATGCACGTAAGAGGATGCTCGTCAGTGTAATTTTACAACTTTTCAATGAAACACGGGGGGTGCTTAATTCGAAGTCGATTTCGAAAGGTCGAACTTGATCAGAATCAATGGGCACCAGCAGCTTACCTCAAAATTAACTTCTGTAGCATTCCTTATTGAAAAAATGAATCTGAGTGAACGGATACACACATTCCTGAAAAGTGCTGCGCTAGAGTGGCAGGCAGCTCCCACAGTAGCTGAGGCTACCTGTACGATAAGGAAATCCTAACACGCTTGGAAAATCGTGGTCTGTGTGCCACCAGTTTCACTTATGGTGAGAGTAATACTAGGAAAACTGATCAGCAGCTCAAAAACAGAATACCAGAGCATACGGCCAACATAAACAGGATAGGCAACAGATGTTCTGCAGTAGTAGAACGCAGCTTCACAAATAACCACATCAACGATTGCAGCCCCTTGCGTATATTTGTTTGTCTGTCCGTCTGTCCATCCTACTGGCCGTTTGCCTACCTTCTTTTGGAGTCAAATCATGAACCCGGTCCTGATGCGGCTCCTTAAACAGACGTTGACAATTGTATCACGTTTTATCATACCTACAGGTGCTTCTCCACTTTCTAGGATGCAAAGTTTTTGCTGATCTCGCTCGAAATTGGACAGTGCCCATGTAATTCGTTCTAAATTAGACAATTACACATTAACAAAATGTTTCAATAAATAATTCGTAAAATTTGACTTCGAATTTGTGCATTGCACTCCTTCCTCCAGAACTTCACCTGAAAGACATTACTGATACTGAAATCTGTCACTCCTTTAGATGCACATCTCCCAGCCTTTGAAAACGTTTCTACTGCCTTAGAGTGTGTAGAGACAAATATGACGCTTCTAAACTAGTCTTCATTCGCTACATATTTGACCTGATTCATAATTAATTCTGACCTCATTGTCTTTCAAATTGGGACTCATGTATCTGAGAAAAACCGCTCTATTCGATCTACTTTGGCACCGATCACCTAAACACGGCCACCTAGAAAACTTGAATTTCAAACCGCAACATCCATAAGAGCAGGCCAGGTTGAAATGTAGTGTCGAATCTAAACATGCAGGGATTGTTTTTCCTCTATTATGAGAACAGAGCACCTTCGAATTGAAAGAAGACCAGCATCGAAAGACCATCGTTTACGATTAGTCAGCAAACCGAACTGAAACTTGAGCAGGATTCAGAGTTTGTAAGTAGTGACCAAAGACAATGAATTTATTTACTGTTTGAAAATTTAATGTTATTTAATCTCGCATCTACCGTTTCAAATTCATCACCATGCAATTTCTAAATTTCAACACATTTCAATGGTTTTCATGTTTCTTACAGACTCACACCGCATGCAGATTTACTACAGAAACTAGCGAAACTTCGATCCATGCTTGACTCATTCTGAAGGTACTTTGACATCGGGCCGAATATAGCCCAAAGCACTTGATTTCTGTAATAATTCTATACCCTCAGCAAGCCAGAGGAGATACATGAATTCTGTGAAACTGATCTCCGTATCAAAGAATTGTGTATAATATTCACATCTTTCACCCCTATACAAAAAGCATTAAAAGTTCACGTAGAAAAGCCAGCCACGCCTTCAGCGACAAGACACGTCGTCATCACAAGAAACGGAATGACAATTACACCAGGCTTAACTCTTTCGGCAAGTGACTCACAACCTGGAAATACATGATCCTTGCTGATCTTTCTCGAAAGTCAGCAGCGGTTGCTTACTGATAAAATTATTTTTTAAAGCGCTCACAATAGTTTCGGAAGCAATGAGTATTTTTCAAGAGAATTTTCAAGACGATTTAGGCAATGATGGTTAAAGTTATGATGTATAATGTTGTATGATGATCATTTATGACTAAAGTTTATCTAAATGAATTTTCTCATTAAATGATTTATGCAGCTCAATTGAAATTCTGAGAGTGCACAATCACAGTCAAATCCAGAGCAAGGCAAGATCCGCAGCGAATTTGCATCTCAGAGTGATAAAGTCATATATGGAGTAGTCTTCTTCTAACTTTTGGATGATGAGCTCTGTTTTGATGACGGGGTAGTGGCTGTTGCTGGTAGCAATCGTAAGGTCACAAGCGACGTGAGTTCAAACGGTATGCATTTATTATAAATTTAATTAGGTAACAGATTTGCAGTTTCTTTCTGCCTTTCGATTTTGCTTGTTGTTCGATTCGTCGTTGCTGCAGCATGGAAGCGACCCAGGCTGCCCGTGAGCTAGTACGCTTTTTGAGCCGCAGTTTTCGTTATGGTTAAGTACAGCGATACGTGTACCAAAAAAGCTATATTTATTTTTACTGTGAAACAATTGCAACTGTGTAAACATAGACAGCAAACAGATTTCACCGGATGCTGTTTTTATTGTGCTCAGCGGCAATAGTCTGTTTTCCTGTCCATGAAATTCCCGTTCAGCCACAAGCTGCATCCGGCAGTAGTATGACGATATGGGGAAAGCGCGTGATTGCATAACTGACATTCTCCCGTCAGTTAGCATCCCACGCTTCATTTAGTATTCCGCACGTAAAAATGGCGCATTGTCTTTAGAAATTTCAGTGCATGAACAGCATCCGATTATTCCCTTGCAAAATGACATGTTGTTACGGTTCCAGGACATTGCTTTCAGAATGTTTAGCTTGTGCTATATGATTCCTTGCGAGCGGTTCTGCTTGTATCCGATTATGCAGCATGATTCTTTGGTATGCTGAGTAGCGCAAGGCAGAGCCCTTATCATTTGCTTTGCTTAAGCAATTCATGTGTCCACTGTTTAAGTTCTCCCGTTTCTTCAACGCAGTCGCAAGAACAGTTTATTAGAAATATCCTTTCGGTGTCCTTTCCTTTTAGTATGATTCCTTTCTTGAACAGGAAGCTATGAAGTGTTAGGAGAAACCATAGCCGTGGATACTACATCAGTGATTGCAAACGCCATAAATCTAAAATGAACTGTTTAAATAATGAAAATTAAAAATTAATTTTAAAAGCCATTTAAAAACCGGCGTAACGGCTACTATCAGGCCTACACTACCGCAGTATCGGCGTAAAGTGAACGCATGGAAAGTTTTCGCCGCGTATCAATAGTTGAAATCTTACCCTTACCGGCGATATTGAAAGCTCATACAGGTGGATACTACCCAGAACATTTGGGTTATACCTTGTTTTATTTTGGTTAAGCAAATATTTGTAAACTTTTATCAAAAAGTAGTGACTTCATTCCCTTAAAAACTTCTTTTGAGGAATAACTACTAGGCTGATTATCCAACTCTATGAAACAATTATTATTTTTAGGTGCCTGTTTCATTTTCATTGTTGTGTCATTTAAATTTCTGGATTTTTCAATTTTCCTTTATTTTCTTATAAAATCAATATTTCTTTGCTACCCCATTTATGCAATAGACTCGCACTCTTCACTTTCGCCTTAGACATTCAGTGGAAAGAGGCGTCATATTTTACATAATACAAAGACTTTTGTTGCATTTCTTAATAAGTCAGTGAAAGTTAAACTTTATTCAAGTACACTAAGTGAAAGTCACATACTGGCAACATTCAAGGATCATATCTAGTTGAATGAATCTGAATGAATGAAACGAAACCGAACCTTCAGGAAATTTGATTTGCAAGTAAAGTCTGATGTACAGTAAGTAAAGGAAGTACTGTCGCCGGCTTGAAATTGCATGCTACAATGGTTCGTAGTGTGTTCCCCAATGTGGGTTGCAGCTGAACTAAACTGCAACAAGGTATGAATGTATTCCAGTAAAAAAGTTATTAGATTAGTGAATGTGACGGTGATTCGGTTTTACTGGTTCGCAAGAAAGGAAGTGGCGGATCGGCGGAGATGGCGGCGACCAGTGGTGATGATTTCAAGCTGGATCCGGAGAGTTTGAACAAACAGCCAGAGGAAGTGTTCGATATCGTGGCGAAGTTGGGTGAGGGCGCGTACGGGTCGGTGTTCAAAGCTTTGCACAAAGCGACCGGACGATACTTAGCCATCAAGCAGGTTCCAGTGGACACAGACCTGCAGGAAATCATCAAAGAAATATCGATGATGCAGCAGTGTGACTCTCCACATGTTGTAAAGTACTACGGCAGCTACTTTAAGAACTCGGATTTGTGGATCGTCATGGAGTACTGTGGCGCCGGTTCAGTGTCTGATATCATGCGAATGCGCAAAAAGACGCTGACAGAGGCGGAGATTGCGGTCATCCTGCGAGACACAATTCAGGGTCTCGACTACCTTCACAGTCGCCGCAAGATTCATCGAGACGTAAAGGCGGGTAACATCCTGTTGAATACCGCTGGTCAAGCGAAGCTAGCCGACTTTGGGGTGGCTGGCCAGCTGTCGGATACGATGACCAAGCGTAACACGGTCATTGGCACACCCTTTTGGATGGCCCCTGAGGTGATTCAAGAAATCGGCTACGACTGTAAAGCAGATATATGGTCATTGGGCATAACGGCATTGGAGATGGCCGAAGGAAAACCACCGTATGCTGACATTCATCCGATGCGTGCTATCTTCATGATTCCAACCAGACCGCCGCCGACCTTCCGCAAACCCGACGAGTGGTCGACGGTGTTCGTGGATTTCGTCCAAACGCTACTGGTGAAGAACCCCGACGCTAGACCTTCGGCCCACGACCTCCTGTCTCACTTGTTTATCAACGGCGTCCAGTCCGCCTCAAATGTACTGGCTGTGTTGGTACATGAAGCACTGCAGGTTCAACAGCAGAGTAGCGAGAACGACGGCGACGACCTCTGCTCCTCCTATTCCGAGTCGTCGGCTACCATGGTCGACCCAAGCAAAACTGTCAGCGCTATCAATGACCACACACTCGTCGCTACCCTCAATAACCCCGTCGTTGAGAGTGCCAGCGATGACGTCAACAGCTCCCTGGAATTATCCATAACCTCGATGGTAATCAATGAGGGCAGTGGCGAAGCTGATGTCCACGATTCGTCGTCACAGAACAGCAGCTGTTGTGCTGAGCAGTCGTCAGCCGTTCACGTAAATGCCGAAGGAGGGGAGGTGAGAAATGGTGGTTCGTTTTCTACATCCATTTGCGACGCCACCGAGTCAGACCAAAAGTTCGTCAGGTCATTTGTGGACGGCGACTTTGAGTTTCTGAAGTTCCGGACTCTGGACGAGATTCGAGAACGGCTGGCGGTGCTTGAGGTAGAGATGGACCGCGAGATTGACGAACTTCGTCGCCGTTACCAGACCAAACGTCAACCGATCTTGGACGTCATGGAGCAGAAGAAGCAGCGCATGACGAACTTTTAACACCCGGATGTTTCCGGCTTCACGCTGCTCCACTAACTCTTCTCTCTTGTTTTTACCACGTATTCAGTGCCTTAATAAATGCTGTTAAATATATGCGCCTATCTTTCGCTATATTCTATTTAAAGTAACTTTTATTTATGACCACCGTATCTTACTTTGGTTGTGCTGTCCCGTTTGCTCCAAAGACATTTCCTCTACCTTCTCACCCCCCTCCTGAAAAGAAATCTATTGTACAGCTTTTACTGGTGGGGGATTCATGGCCATTCTGTCGCCATGACATATCCCGCCTTTCCTGGTTCCATTTCCTTACTTTTTCCAGTGACAGATGGTACTTCGTGTATGAATTCCCTAAGCTTCCGCTTCTATAGTTTGTTTCTTTCTATCGCAGGGACTAGTGTTGTACTGCTGCTAGTTATGCTGCTGACTAGTTACAACCATCCCTTGCATAAGAAATCCATATGAACTGTTTCTTTGCTTTCACTTATAAACGCAACGTCAGCGGGCCCGTCCTTGCGCTGTATATCGCTGTTAGTACTACTTTTCAATCTTTCATCAGAGATTTGAACGGTGATTGATGACTGGTAATGTAGCACAATAAAGTGCAATAACTTGCTCCTAAATCATAATATTGCATAAATTTGTGTTTTCACGTTATCCTTCGTCCGAACCGAGGATGATATTTTTTGTCAGATATAAATGGAGAATACTACATGAAAAATATTACCAAATGGCTTTACTCTCTACATAGATAAAATGCAAATATGCACAAACTAGCTAATGAAAGTGTAAACTACAAAACCGTTTATTCATGCACAGCGCAAACAGATTAGTCAACGGAGTGATTAACTGGTATCGCCGTTTAGGCTCGTGTCTCACCTTCCTTCCATGTGGATAGGTTTGATTTCTGGAGTTTGTGCTCTGGTCCGCTGTTATTGTAACGTTTTAAGCCTAAAGGTTCTTTTTCGGGAGTTCGTAGTTGTAACTGTTGGAGCCAAAAGTCTCTTTTATAACTCCAAACCACGGAACGAACTTCTGAAATCAAGCATATTCATCTTGAAGAAGGTCATTAAGTGCCGGCCGAAACGTCGGTACTGTTTATTATGGTTTTTATTGGCGTTGTTTATGAATAAACCGTTTTTATACATTTTCACTTTTCGTTATGATCATCAACGCACGAGCGAAATAATTAACCATCGGAAATTAGTGAAAGAGACATAACAATCAATCCCGGTATTATGGATTAACCAGCCAACCGTCAGTATGCCTAACAATCTTCCATCATGTCTACGGATTTGTACGGCGTAGTCGCATCGTTCCGTTACTCCTACTGGTTTAGGAGACCGCTTACGTAGGCCACAGCTTCATGGTATCTTCCAACCAACAGTGCTTGGATGCTCATCCGCACAACTGTAGGGCTGAACAGAAACCTATTCGGACTCTTCCCGCTATATCATTATGTGTAGACATAATATTATGTAACCGCGACCCGCGTCTAGGCAACTGAAAGCAGGGAACGATACGACTTCACTGTGTAAATCAGGACTGACAGGAAAATTAAAACAGTCGATTCACTTTTTGAAAGTGTCCGAATTAGTTGGCCAAGTAGCTGGTGTGACTTCAGAAGAAACTTTAAACTGAGCGAGGCCATAGTCTGAAATTGCATTTTCATGAAAAACTTTTTCTTTAAATTAATAAATTTTGTTTAATTTATAGTTAAGACAGATTGATTAGGGTGAGGCCGCTGTCCAATCTTTAAAGATCCCTAACGATCAATATTTTATTGTTTTCTGTGTGCTCCATCTCAAAACAGATGTGCTTTTGTAGAACCTGCACAACTACGTGTATCATGTTTTCGAATTCAAGCCATTCATTCCTTTCAAATGATGCTTCTCATCCGAACGGGAGACAAATGCAAAATGGTCTCGCCGCTATGAAATGGAGGATCATTGCATTTAATTATTTAGCTATTAAATAAATAAGGATATGCAAAATCACAATTTTAAGCCAGTGAAACTGAACGGAGCAGGTGAAACTACAGCACGAACTATGAACAATAATGGTCATAATCGATCTACTGAACGACAAGAAGAAAATACTTTTCAAGCGTTATGGCAACTACTCTATGCGTCTCCTAATTACAAAAGAAATAGTTAAAAAATATAGGACGGTATCCAAATGTGACTCAGTATATCGTAGCAAATATCTACTGTTTCAGTCATTTTAATTGCTTGTAAAACAACAAAAAATTTATTAACACTTGAAGCGTGAAGTCCCTAACTTTTGAGAGTATTAAACTGGCTTCTTATAGGTGAATTTCAAGAAAATAATTTTGAGCGCGTTTGAAGTAAATGGTGGATGGTTGATGGCGTATTTTGCCGATTATCCTATTTTAGCGAAATGTTAAAAAATGGAAACAAAAATTCCTTCAATGAACTTAGAAAATTTTGAAACGAATGGGGATTGCAAACAATTCGTATGCGTAATAAAAAATATGAAAAACCACACCCGTTGGCACGATGTCAGAGCTGCGTTTCATACAATGTGCGCAAACTTTGACCGGAAATGAAAATGCATTTCAGAAACTGGTTAACGTAATACCTGCCACATGACATAAACGAAAGATCACAGTTCATCATGAACGGCGGATAGGACTTCTTTAGCTAAATACCAAGTGCTAATCTCTGAAATGATTGGCAAAGCAAAGAAACTCCAACGTACCACACGAAATGCGTGGTGCGAAATACAGATTTGCCCAGAATAAAGAGGAGTCCCTAACGTAAAGCAAAAAATACAAAATTCAGGAAAAGTTGTCACAGTCACTCTCCTCAATTTTTTTTCTTACAGTAGTCAGGCACTCATCGACTTTTCTCACAGTATGAGGTATAGGCAATTTATGGTTTACTGCAATTCATAGTCACTCGAGGTATTTTTTATTCAAGTCATCAAGTAAACCTTCAAACACTATTACGGCACCTTATGTCTCTACAACTATATTTCTGTAATGCACGCAACCGTGGTTTGGACAGAAACAGGACGCTTTTATGTTGTCTGCTAGCGGCACCAGACTAATGAGCTTCAGGCGTAGTTGTTTCTTTCCTGGTAATGCTCAACTGCCAGGAAATACGGCCGTACCTTCACCCCACTTGTGTTTTATTATTGCACCCCTGGGGCCAGAATTCACGTTGATGCAAAGCATGAATAAAAGCCAGCGCAATTCTTAATGTAATGAACCTCGTGGCTTAACAGCATAAAATCAGCTGTCACACAACGACGTTAAATGAGCTCTCACGGATTCTACAAATATTTCCATGAATCTTTAACATTCCGCATGAATGTGACGCCTTGAAATGGTCTCTTTAATCATCATCATCTTCCATCGCAGCTTCTCCTTTCGGCTAGCGAAGGCAAACGCGTCAGAGAGAGCTTCCAACGTTCCCGATCCTGTGCCAGAGTCTGAGACTCGGCAAAAGACAAATGCAGTCTGGTACAGATTCCTTCCATATGTTTGCACCAGGTTAATCTTGGCCGTC